AAGCAGCCTCATATACAAACAATAACACCCCTCTTTATTTACAAAAGCTTAGTTTCCATTTTGTCTTCCTACTCTTTTTTTCTTTTCCTTTCCTCTCCACTTGTTCTCCCTCCCCTTTGAAAATTTTCTTCCTATTTCACAATATTTATTAAAAATTTGGTGCATATTTACCCTTTTGGTTTCTCACACCAGAGAAACAATGCAATATTTACACTTGTGTCTGATTTACTTCACTTAAGAGTAGGGTTTCAAGGTGCATCCATTTACCTAGAAATGTCGCAAGATCATCCTTTATGGTTGAGTAGTACTCCATTGTGTAAAAGAACCACGTCTTCTTTATCCATTCATTGATTAATGGGAATTTTGGCTGTTTAAAAGAGTTAGCTATGACAAACTGTGCTGCTATAAATACATATGTTATTGTGTCCAAACAGAGGACATTGCAGTCTGGCAGCATATCTTGTCAGCACACACCAAGGCACTGCTCACTCTCTGATTGGTGATTTGTTCTCAGACTCTGAGGGGATAACGTGCAACCTCTATCTGTAATGTGTCTTCAACCTCTATCTGTAATGTGTCTTCAACCTCTATCTGTAATGTGTCTTCAACCTCTATCTGTAATGTGTCTCCCACCTCCCAGGCTCCTACTGTGAGACTAGCACTGAACCTACAAAGACATAGAGTGAGTGAGAGCTGCAGCTGTGGATTGGTGAAAGCCAGGAGGGCCCGAGGGCAGAGGGAGCAAGCCCCAACCCAGGGGCATGGGCGAGGAGAAATGTGATCGTATTCTATTTCTCCTGCATCCTCACCAATATGTTTATGTGCTCTTCATGTTTGCCCTTCTGACTGGGTTTGGATTGAGGTGGAATCTCAGAGTTGTTTTGATTTACATTTCCCTAGTGGCTAAAAGTGTTGAACATTCTTCCATAGACTTATTGGTCATTTGTGCTTCCTTTGAGAAGTGTCTGTTTAATTCATTTGTCCATTTATTGATTGGGGTATTTTTTGGTGTTTTTTTGGGAATTTTTTATATATTATGGATGTAGGGGCTGGGGGTTTAGCTCAGTGGCACAGCGCTTGCCTGGCAAGCGCATGGTCGTGAGTTTTATTCCTGGTACCGAAAAAAACCCCCAAAGAACCAAACATATATATATATGAGATCTAATATATATAGGATGTAAATCCACTGTGGAAAAAGTTGCTGGCAAAGACTTTTATCTTTTTCTTTTATTTTAAAGATAAAAGGACAAACATATTAACAAACACTCAGACATTTACAAAACAACACAGAAGCAATAACAGCAATACAGAGTTTCAGACAAGGTGATAGGAAATTAACAACGGTTGTTGTATTACACACTGTTATCTTCAAATTAGTTACTCAGATGAACAAATATAGACATATAAGATTGATCAAACAATTAAACATTAACTGTTTCTTTCAGTACAGCAATAGAAATCAGTAGTACAGCTACCTGGCAAAGATTTTTTTTCTCCACGCTGTAGTCTGTTTCTTTACTTTTAGGGTTACTTCCCTTGCTGCATAGAAACCTTTTAATTTGATGTAATTCCATTGCTGATTCCTGTTATTACTTCTGGTGCCTTTGGAATCCTACACAGGATGTTTTTGTTTGTGCCCATGATAGATCTCAAATTTCCCCACTTGTTTCTTTTTAGCAGTTTCAAAATTTCCAGTATTTTATCCAGGTCTTTGATCAATTTTGAATTTATTTTTTTAGAGTGTGAAGTAGAGATCTAGTTTCAGTCTTTTACATATGAATATCCAGTTTTCTCCAGCATATGTTTTTGCTTTCTTTGTCCAGAATCAGATAGCTCTAGCTGTGTGAATCTTCTTTTGTGTCCTCGATTCTATTTTGTTGATCTACACATCTGTTTTGTTCTAGCATCATGCTGTGTTTGTTATGGCTTTATATTATAATTTGAAATTGAGTCTTGTGATGCCTTCAGCCTTATTCATTTTTTTGTTTAGAACCACTGTGACTATTCAGGTTCTTTATGATTTCAAATGACTTTTGGTTTTGTTTTTTCTAGTTCTGTGAAGGGTGTCATTGATATTTTGATGTAGATTTCATTGAATCTGTAGATCACATTTGGTAATTAGTCCATTTTAACAGTATTAATTCTGGCAATCTGTCAACATAAGAAGTCTTTCCATTTTCTCATATCTTCTTCAATTTATTTTCAGTGTTTTTTAATTCTAATTGTAGAGGATTTTAATTATCTTGGGTACAGTTATTCTTAGATTTTTTTGGGAGTTATTGTGGATGAAATTGTTTTCCTGATTTTTTCTCAGCTTCTTTATTTGTGTAGAGAAAAGCTATGATATTTTAATTCTGATTTTGTATTCTCCTACTTTGCCGAAATTGTTTATCAGCTCTAAAAGTTTCTTGGTTGAGCTCTTAAGATCTAATCGTAGGACCATATCACACACAAATAAGAATGATTTGACTTCTTTCTCTTCTGTTTGTGTTTATTTCATTTCTTTATCTTGCCTAATTGCATTATTGAAAGTTTCAAGTCTATATTGAATGGGAGTGATGTGAACAGACATCCTTGTCTCATTGCTAATTTTACAGCAAATGCTTTTAATTTTGTCTATTCAGTTTGAAGTTGGTTCTTGGTTTGCTGAATATGGTCTTATATTGAGGTATAATCTTTTAATATGTGGTTCTTTCATTTATATATTTATACATTTTTGTCATAAAGGCATGTTGAATTTTCTTAAAGCCTTTTCTGCATCGAGATAATTATATGATTTCAATCCTGGATTTTATTTATGTGAGTATATCATGTTTATAGATTTGTGTGTGTTAAACCATTCTTGCATTCCTGGGATGAAACCATCTTGGTCATGGTGATGATCTTTTTAGTGTTTTTGAATTCAGTTTGCTAGTGTTGCATTAAGAATATTTGCGTCTATGTTCATCACAAATATTGATCTATAGTTTTCTTTCTTTCCTCTCTCCTTGTCTGGTTTTGATATTAGGGCAATACTGACCTCATGGAGTGAGTTTGGAAGTGTCCTTTTCCTTTCTATTTCAGGTAACAGTTTGAGGAGCTTTGTTATTTATTCTTTAAAGACCTGGCAAAACTCAGCAGTGAATCCATCTCGTCTTGGGTTTTTGTTTGATGGGAGAGTTTTTATTTCTGCTTTAATCTCATTGCTTGTTAGTAATTTAAGTTTTTACATGTACTTTTGTTTCAATTTTAGTAGGTTATATGTATATAGAAATTCATACATTTCTTCTAGATTAATGGAATATAGGTTTTCAAAAGAGTTTGTAATGAGTCTCAGATTTCAGGTTTTTCTCTTATAACATGCTATTTTAAAATTTGTAATTGTATTAATTTGGATCTTCCATCTCTTTCTTTTGGCTAACTTGGCTGAATGTTTATCAATCTCATTTGTCTTTTCCAAGAACCAGCCCTTTGTTTCACTGATCCTTTTAGTTTGAATATCATTAATTTCAGCTGTGATTTTTATTATGTTTATTTTCCTCTTGTTTTTCTAAGACCTTGAGATATATCCTTATGTTGTACAATTCAAATCTGTCTGATTTTTTTTGATGCAGCTATAAAAGTCCCTCTTAAAACTGCCTTTGAAGTATCCCAGAGATCCTGGTATGTTTTGTTTCAGTTTTTATTTGATTGTAGTGATTTAAATTTCCCCTTCATTTCTTCAGTGGCTTAGTAATTGTTTAAAAGCAAATTGTTCAGTCTTCACTTGTCTGTAATTTTCTGTATTTTTCTCTTGTTGATTTCTAGTTTCATTCCATTATGATCTAATAAGATGAAAAAATTACTTCACTTGTTTTGTATGTGTTAACACTTGTTTGTGGCATAAAACATGGTCAATTTTGTTGAACAGTCCATGAGCTGCTTAAAAAGTGTATCTCATAATTGTATGGAATGTTCTTCAGATGTCTATTAAGTCCTTTTGATTTATGATATATTTTGTATCTGATGTTTCTTTGTTAATTTTTTCATCTGTATGACCTATCCATTGGTAAGACTGAAGTATAGGAGTGATCCATTATTAGGAGTCTTTTCAAATGTAATAATCTTAGTTATATGAAATTAAGTGCGCTTATGTTTGGTACATATATATTTACAATTATTATATCTACTTGGCATATTGTTCCCTTTACTAATAGGAACTGAGCTTCTTTGTCTCTTCTGATTAATTTTGTCTTGAAGTCTGCCTTGTTGGATACTAGTGTAATTACTCCTGCTTGCTTTTAGATCCTATTTGCATGGAATATTTCTTCTCATTTTTTTCTTTGTATGTTTTTACTACTGAGGTGTGTTTCTTGCATAACAAATAGGTGGATCTTGTTTTTTAATCCAATATGTCACTGTTATGGCTTGTATTTAGATGTTCCCCTAAAACCTTATGTTGCCATAGGTGGGAGCTTTTTCAGAAGTGGGTGGATCTAGTGTGTGTAATGCTGAAATTAAGTGTGTGATTGCTAAATTTGTTCATTGGTTGATTTGGCATAGTCTGAGTGTGGATAATGGGAAGACCCACACTGGGTCCAGGGGATATATCTGGACAGAATATAAGGGACAGAAAGGGAGTTGCTGTTGTTGCTTAATGCTTCACTACTTTGCTGTTTTGCTGCCTCTGCCTGCCATCCACCATTTCTCCTCAGCCATACCATCCTGCCTTGGAGCCAGCCAATATGGACTGAGACCTCTACAAATTGTTAGCCAAAATAAACTTTTCCTCCTTAACTTTGGGTATTGGGTATTTTGTCTCAGCAATGAGAAAAGTAACTAACACAGTCACTATGTATCTTTTGATTGTAGAATTAAGACCATTTACATTCAGAGTTATTATAGATAGATATGTATAAATTCTTGTCATTTTGTTGTTTTTCTACTGTTTGATTATTTCCTAATTCTTAATAGCTTATCTATTCTTCCTCTTCTGCGTGTAGGATTCTGTAATTCTGGCTTTGAAATTCTTTTTCTGTTAGATAAAATTCTTGATCTTCACACATTAATTGTAAATTTTATTGACCTGAGTCGAAGAAGGAAAGAATCATAGCAAAATGAAAAGAAAATTTAAATGAAGCTTCAGGCAAAAGGTAAATATAATTTCTTTTTATTTGTATGTTCAATGCTGAAGTTTATGTAATTTGTTGTACAATTTAGAAAAAATAACAAAATAGAACGGGGATTATATTTTGTTTTGTTCTGTGTACGGTTGTATAACTGACTCTATGCTTGTGGAATTTCTCAAAAGACATCTCTCATGTGTCTTTAAAAACCAGCACAGACACATGAAAATTCTCATGGTTAGAAATTTGGCGGGGAAATAAATGATTCATTATTTTCCTTGGACAACAGGATTGAATCAATTCAAGTATACCCTTCAACAAAATATTTTAATTTTTAGATGTTGAAAGTATTACTAATGTATTTCATATTTTAATCATTTTTTGCAAAATCAATGAAATTACCAAACTGATCAAAATCATTTTCAAAGAAATGAATTATAGCTGCATAGATAGCAATGATGAGAAATATTTATTATTCTTCACTTTGTATGTTCTAATTAATTTCTAAATAAAAACTAGTAACATGAGTTAATGTGATTGCATAAGCAGGCTCAGGACCAAGAAGAACTGGTCATGTCCAGTAACTGAGGTTTCTGCACTTGAAGACTGCTAATATTTAACCAGACAAAATAACACTCAGCAGTTTGTTCTCAGGGCAGGTGCAGCTAAGTGTACCCTGGTGTGATTTATTTGGATAGAATTCAAATACTAAATTCAGATTTGTGGGCTGCAAGACAGGATTCAATAATCCACTGCTGACAGCTGTGGGAGACGTCCACTTTATAATGTTGATTTAAGGCATCTAATTTCATAATCTTCATTTTGTCTCCAAATTCAAAAGCAGCTGCTTTCTGTTGCAGGACAACCACATAATTCAGCAATTATTTATTGCACAACCACAAGGTGAAATAGTAGGAAATAAAGCTAACAAATTTTCCACTCTCAGAGAGCTTCTTCCCAGTGGAAAAAGATAGAAAGTAAATACAAATAAGAAAATAGAATTACATAAAAATGGGTTTAACGCTTTGTGTAGCAAAATAAAAATAAATGACAAGAATTAGGGTGGGTGTTAGTAAACAGCTCTAAATACAGAGGTAGAAAGAACCTCATGAGAAGCTGACAATTAAGCAAAGATTCATAGGAGAAGAAAAACCACTATGAATTTTTTGGGGGTCTCTGGAGCTACAATCCTTTTTGTTTTTGATTTCTCCTTCTCTTTTCCACCTTATTCTTCTTTCTCTTAACTAGAAATTTCATGTGATGAGCTACAGTAATACTCCAGTTCATGAATGCTTCTTTGCACCAACAATTCCATTCACAAACAGAAGCATTGGGCAAAATTTTGCTTCTGTTTGCAAACTCTGCATCAGGTGATAAGCACAGCTATGACTATTTTCCTCAGAATCATGGAAGGAATTAAGTTCGTGAACCGAGGTACCACTGTAACTATTCCAAAGCTGTCTAGTCTTTGCTGAAGTTATAATACCTATTTACCAAGGTAATCTTATTTACATTTTCTGGAGTTGTGCTGATACCAATAGCAAAGTTGTTATTATCCCTTTATTAGCCTTTGAGAATGATAATAGCTATTTTATAATTTGAATAGTATTATTAAAAATGAATATTATTATGAGAGGGGGAAATAAGAGAGGGACACTAACACTGCCTGCTTACCCTGAGTGATAAGATGACCCTACTGTGGTCTTACTGAGGTAATCTTTGATGTCCAAAGATGATAATGCAGCTTCCATTTTAACTAGTTATTTTTGATAATCAAGTGTGATAATCACTTTTTCTGACCACCAGAGTCTATGTACTAAGTTGCTGACACTCATGATGAAATTAAATATTAAGCCTGAAGCACATAATTCCTTCCCTGTATTAAGTGTATTTTATGATTGCTATGGTTTATAATTTGATGTCCCTGTAAAACCTCATACACTTATAAGTGGAGCTTTGGGAAGGTGAATGGATCATGGGGGTGTGACACTCCTCAGTAGATTAGTACACTGAAGAGCTTGTAGCTAAGATACTCATCAATGGATTAGTGTGTTGATGAGCTTATAGCTAAATGTGATGTTGGGAGGTTAAGCCTGGTTGGAGGATGTGGGGGTCACTGCGGAATGGCCTGGAAGTGTCTATCTCCCTCCTCCTCCTATGATCTCTCTCTGCTTCCTGCTTGTAGGCCATGAGCTCTTTCTCCTCTGTCATGCCAACTTCCCTTTAAGCTGGTCAACTATGGACTGAAACCATTACAAACTGTGATAAAAAAAACCTCTCCTCTTCTAAATTGTGGGTTCTGTGTATTGTGCCTCAGTGATGAAAAAGAAACTCAGATAATGAATTTCTTCCTGCAGCCCTCTGAGCACCCCTATTTGGTGAATGCTATTATTATCCACATTTTAAGTTCGAGGAGCTGAGACATGGAGACCATAAGTAAACTGGAAGAGTTAGGAGTGGAATCCCAGCAGACTAACTCCAGAGACTGCATTCTCAATCTCTACACTACTCTTGTACTTTCAAATGGGTTTTCTTTTTTTTTTTTTTTTTTTGGTTTTTCTCCGGTACGGGGAACTGAACTCACGACCTTGCACTTGCCAGGCAGGTGCTTTGCCGCTGAGCTAAATCCCCAGCCCCTCAAATGGGTTTTCTAAGGCTTCTCATTAAATAAAACCTTGAGAGCAATGCAGGGGAAATATTGCTATCCCAACGCTGGTGTTCAGAAAACTGAAGCTCAGGTAAGAGTCAAAGTCGACTTCATTAGAAGTGCAGGGCAATGGGGAGGTGGTGAGGAATTCAAACTCTGGATCCACACCACTTGACTTCTGATATTAGCTCTCCTACTTAATGCTGTGAAAGCTGCGGTAGATTACATAACCACTGGTGACTCCATCTGCAGAACAGGGATGAGAACTGCACCGGCTCTATGGTGTTGTTGAGAGAGTTAAATGAGGTTACATTAAAAGTATAGCATACTACAACAGCTCAGTGAACAGCAGCTATTAAGAGCAAAGCCAGAAGCAGAACAGTTGAACTTCCAGTTCGGTGAGGCACCAAGAGTACTGTAGTCCCCAGGCCTGATGAAGAAAGGGATCTCAGGTAGTTAGTTTTCTGTCACTGTGATGAAATACTTGAAATAACTAAGAAGAACGGGTTACTTGGGCCCATGGTTTTGGCCCATGGTTACTTGGGCCTGCCCCACTAGGTCTGTGGTGAGGCAGAACATCATGATGGGGAGCATGTGGAGGGCAAATCGGCTCACTCTGTGATGGCTGAGAAGTAAAGAAAGGGGAAGAAGGACCGAGGCCACAATGTCTTCTTCATGGGAATGTTTCAATGACCTAAACTCCACCCATTTAGCTCCATCCCTAAGGTTCTACCACCTACTAATAGCACTGTAGGCTGGTGACCAAACCTTCATCACATGGAATTTGAAGGATATTTAAGATCTAAACCACAACAAGAAATGAATTTTTCCTGTTCCAGTGAAGGGCCTCATGCCTTGTCTCCAGGATTATCCTTCACTTGTTTTTCCTCTGAATAGTACCATCACTTCCCGGTTAATACATAAGCCATCTGCCTCCATAGTTTTATTTTTCACTTTCACTAGCTACTCAACCTGTAAGTCTCATCAATCTTTAAATACTCTAAATAAGGAAGGTGCTTTTCTCTATGGGAAAATGTGCAATCCTTCTCTTCTCCTGCTCCTCCCCTTCCAGACAAACTTACTGAAATTGTTTTTAACTTATTGAAATTTTCATACATAAACTGCCTCCACCTTCTGTGTTATATTTACTGATCACTGCATCAATATGGTTTATGCCCCTCTACACTGCAGTCTTAGTGAAATAACTCCCAATGGCATAAAGTGGTGGTAATGGCAGCTTCAGTTTTTAATCAATTATTTTTTATAGCCATTTGCTAAACTTCCTTTCTTGACCACTGGAATCTATATAGTATTGATGTAAAAATATAATACAGTGAAATTTACATTTATCACATCACTCATCAAGCCTACTTCTCTAGGTATTTCTCCCAAGAGAAATGAAAAATATGTCTACACAAAAACTCATGCATGATGAATGTGGCTTCATTAAAAATTGTTAAAAACTAGAAATAGCACAAATGTACAGACAGAGGTTAAAGTATAAACCAACTGTGGTATGGTTATACAATGGATGTCTATTCATCAGTAAAAAGAAACCCACTATTGATTCAGACAACAAAATTTGTGAAAATCCAAATACATTTCGCTCAATACAAGAAGTCAGACTGAAAAGGCTGCACATAGTAGGTTTCCGTGATTCCACACATACAACACTGTAAAAAAGCTGCATCTAGAGAGACAGAATGCACGTTATTGGTGGCCCGTAGGAAGTGGAGGTATTGCAAAGTGGCTCAAAAAAACTTTGAGGGGCAATCACACTGCTGTATATAGTATATTTTGATTGCTGTGGTAGTTACTAACCAAATGTATTTGTCAAAATTGAGTGCTGGGGGAGCAGGAATAGGGAGTTTTTTATTTTAAGGATAAAAACTCACAAAATAACAACAATGGAGACAAAATCAAAACAACACAAAAACAACCAAAATGATACATGATCTCAAAACAAAATGATAGGAATTAACAATGGTTGCTACATTACATAGTTATCTTCAACGAAGTTGCTCAGTCCACCAGATGTAAGAATGTAAGACTGATCAAACAATTAAAGATAGTAACAAGTAACAAAAAAAATTGGAAATGATGCAGAGCTTCATCATACAAGATGGTAGGAATTCGAAAAAGGTTCTTAATTTGATGGATACAAAGCCTTTATTTGAGATGATGAAAAAGCTGTGATACACAGCTACGCCAGCACCACTTCTGAGCCTGTTTGGGTTCATCCTGGATCTGTGAGGCTACCCTGAGAGCAATGACCCTCAGAGAATGCTTGCCAAATTCTACACGCTGTTGGAGGCGGTGAACTGAGCTTCCGGTTTGCACTCAGCACGCTTGTAAATAAATCCCTGGGGATCTGGGGAGTCACCAGGGCCAGGCACCATAAGGAGGAGGACGCCACACTCTTACCTCTTGCACTTTCTCCCTACGCCATGGGGAAAGGCAGATATGCTCTGCTAGATTTTGTCTTAATTTTTCTTGCTCTCCTAACAACAGCAGCTTCAGTTCCTAGAGAACCGTGAGTAACACCAGGGCCTGTTCCATCGTCATTTTCTACCCAAATCTCTACTTACATTCATTTTGTCTCAAGTGACAAATAATAACTATATGTGCTTATGGGATGCAAGGTAATGTTTTGATATCTGTGTACAAAGTGGATGGATTAAATAGCCAGTAAATATAATAATTAACTCATTTACATATCTTTTTGTGGTGGAATTTTTAAAAAATTGACTTTCAGTTCTGAAATATTGGGTACATTATGACTAGTTCTAATCACAATGATTCATGATAGATAGACTATTTTGTCTTCACTAACTGCAGCTTTGTGCCCTTTGAGTAACAGTTCCTATCTCCTCTCTGTCTCTCTAGCCTCTGATAAACACCATTCTATTTGTTTCACTTAGGTTCTTTAGTGTCCTTTCCAACTTTATTTTTATTTTTTTTGGGGGGAGGGACAATTCTTTTTTATTTATTTTAAAGAGAACAAACATACCAATAAAAATGATACTTTCCAACTTTAATATTTTATGATTTTATGGAATTTTTGTCAACTCTAAAGTAATTAGTAGGGCTAACTTAGATGTGATTGGGCTTAGGAAAATGCCTCCTTATTCGTCTGCCATTAAGACCTAAAATTTCAGTGTACAAGAGACATTTTCTTGTCCTAAACACAATAATCTTAAAAAGAAAAGTAAAATCCATTATTGTTATTGGGTTAAATATTAAGGCTGGGTTCAGTTTGAGTCAGGTAAGGCTTTAAGCAATGCTTCTTGGATCCTGTCTCTGTGTCTATTAAGACATTTCCTGGTGTGCAGGGTTATGGTAAGGATCAGAATGCCTCAAAGATTATGAAGTACTGATAGGCCTTATTTTTTTGTCTAAAAGGAAATACTTTACCAAGAATTGTCACATCACTTCTCCTTCCTATGGTTTGAAGAAGAATATTTGACTTTAAAAGAGGTACAAGGGAAGATAATCTAGTAGTACTTAATAAGCTTTAGGGTGCCAGTCACTGGCTTCATCATAAACAATTTGGGGACTAGAATGTCTCTAATATAAAGGGAGAAGGAAAAGAATGCCTTTGACACCTAGCTTTATCTATTCCTCAGTTGTGACTTGGGTCAATTATACACCCCTGAACTCTACACATAATAATATAAGTTAAGATGGAGAAACTGATGATAAGCAGAAGATATTGAGTTGTTTTTCAAGAATTAAATACAGCATTTGAGAATAGCCCTAATGGAGTATCTATGTGGTGAATAATTATTTCTCTTATTTTGTCTTTAAAAACTAAATTCAGGAGCTGGAGTGCTGCAGGTATGGTAGGGAAGTATAGAACTATCATGCTATTAGTACCTACCTTTGGTAGGATACCACTGCCGAAGCTGGTTATGTATATAAATTTTCTTGCCACTCACCGTGTTATCATGTTGTCAGCCTGCCTTGTCAGGGTACAGAAGTACGGATGGTAATCATTACTGTGATGAAACCACAGTCATGGAAAATGTATCTCTCCTCACCTGACCTGAACTGCACCCTTTCTAGGCAGTACATGATGCTGGTCCCCACCCAGCTCCACACAGAGGTGCCTGAGCAAAGCTGTCTCCATCTGCACTACCTGAATGAGACAGTGACTGTAAATGTTTCCTTGGAGTCCAGCATGGGGAACAGGAGCCTGTTCAGTGACCTTGAAATCGACAAGGACTTGTTCCACTGTTTTTCCTTCACTGTGAGTCCTAGCTGCTATGTATGAGACAGGGAGGTTGGTTTTTAATATCAGAAAGTTAATCTAGAAGGACATCAGTGACTTCAAAGAACAATATAGAAAATTTATCACAGCCAAAGCAGAAAATACAGATTTCCCTACTCAAAACTGAAACAGCTAGTAATTATGGTTATGCTAATTTTTATTTAACCCCCACAAAAATCCTACTAGACGAAGAAAAGAAGAGTTAGACATGTTGAGTATTTTTTACTGTTAAGTTGCAAACTGAAATACTCCTACAAATAAAGGCTGCATCTTTTGCATACATTTGATATCTTGAATTTATTTCTAGTTTCTTCTTTGGGCAATCTATTTTCAACATATAATTCCTACCATCATTAGCATATTAAATTTCTCCTTTCCCATGGTTTTCAGGGTTACATTTACTTTTTCATTAAGATGTGTTTACTCCACAAAGTTAACTGTTTTCATAGACACTATTTTAGTCATATGAAAATTTGGATTTCGTTTGTTACACTTCTTTCTGATTTGTTCTTCTCTACCTTTTATTTAAATAATATTCATGGAAAATAAATAAGTAAATACATAAATAAATACTTGGGCTCACCTACATTCCTAAAGAGTGAAGGACAAAGAGGTGAAGGGGAAATGCTAAAGCCTCCCAAGGAATACAGTGATGGCTCTTTTGATTTTTTTTTTTGTTGTTGTTGTTCTCAGCTCCCGAGAGCCTCATCCACTGAGGAGGCAGCCTTCCTGTCTGTCCAGATAAAAGGACCAACACATGTGTTTAGGAAAAGCATGGCAGTGCTGGTGAGGAACACAGAAAGTGTTATCATTATCCAGACAGACAAGCCCATGTACAAGCCAGGACAGTCAGGTACGGGCTCCATGGTGACAGGCTTCACAGATGAGAGGTCTCCTTTCAGGCTGTCTTCGAGGCCTGGATCTCTGGGTCTACTCAGAAAGTTTTTCTTTTTCAGTTAAGTTTCGAGTTGTGTCTGTGGATGGACATTTGCGCCCGTTGCATGAATTGGTGAGTATTTTATGACTGTGTGTCTCTCAGTGCTGTGAGTGACAGAGGGGAGGAAAAAAATTGACTAGATGGACTTCTAATTTCAACAAGCCTGGAGTCAGCCACCATACTTCAACCCAAGCAGAGGAGCCAGATTGTCACGGAGCTGACGTCAAAGGGAAGGAGATAATGAGTTCTTCTCTTCTGTACTTTCCAGGCACCCAGTTATCACTTACTGCATTGACTGGACAGGAAGCTCCATAGTGGCAAAGTGGGAGCATCGTAACAGCCATGGCTAGGCCCTTCATTTCACTTAAGGACACAGTTGCTCACCCCTTACATCTCTGCTCTTCTAGGATTCCACTTAGATTTCCACAAAGCTATATTAGACTAGGTGTTCCTTCTTCAAGATGGAAAATCCTGTTATTTGCCACAAGTATTTCTGATGTGAATCTTACTCCACGGTCTTGGGGATGCAACAGGGAAGCATTGTTTTAGACCAAATTAAACCTAAGAAAAAACTGATTATGAAAATTCATTATTTGACATTTAAAAATGCCTCAGCTTCCTCTGGAGCACAAAAGCAATCCAGAAGATTTATTCAGAGAAAAAGTCCTCTTTTTCATGTTGTCAGCCTGCCTCGTCAGGGTACAGAAGTACGGATGGTAATCATTACTGTGATGAAACCACAGTCATGGAAAATGTATCTCTCCTCACCTGACCTGAACTGCACCCTTTCTAGGCAGTACATGATGCTGGTCCCCACCCGGCTCCACACAGAGGTGCCTGAGCAAAGCTGTCTCCATCTGCACTACATGAATGAGACAGTGACTGTAAATGTTTCCTGCTTCTCTACTATCTGATCTACAAATTAGTAGTCTATTTATTTTAATTTTGAGAATTTCATTTGCATCTAATGTTATCTTAACATTAACTGGGATCCAGTTACTATACTGTTCTTAATTGACTATGCTCAAAATTCATCAAAAATAACAAAAAGTACCTCTAAAAAATATAAAATAGTACATCCAAACCCTTCTAACAGTTCTATGTTTTTGCCCATATTCTCTGTCTCTGCTTCCATTACAATGAAAAATGTCATGTACTGATCAGAGTGAACTCCACGTGTGCTTTGGGTCCATCTTATTTTACTTCTTTAACAACTCCCTGTAGTCCTTTTCCTTCCCCCGATCTTTGCAATTCCCTTTTCTGAGGTTCCTAGGAGACTGCACAGACTTGCTCCTGTCACCTATCTTACAAAAAAGAAGTTAAATATGGAAATTTCCATAGACCTCAAGCCCATCTCCAAATGAGAATTCATTTCCCTGCCCTTCCGATTGCAACAAAGGAATTAACTACACACTGCCTTTACTACCTTCCTGCAGTATTTGCTTTTTTGATGCTATAAAGTATTCAAATGGATAATCATTGTGACTAACTTAACAAGTACTTATACTCAAAGCCATGACCCATCAAATATTGACATTTCCCCATGTTTGCATCATTTTTTGGTAGAAATACATTAAAGAAAAATGTGAAATTCCCCGTGCCCTTCTTTTAACATTACTCATCCTTACTTTAGTGTTTATAAATACTGTGCATGCTTTCACCTCTTACTAAATGTTCTGTTTGTAGAACATATATGTATATAGCATATGCATATTCATATGTGTGTATATTTAATATATATATGACATAGAATTTGGCTTTTTTTTTTTTTGGTACCAGGAATCAAATTCATGACCTTGCACTTGCCAGGCAGGTGCTGTGCTGCTGAGCTATAACCCTGACCCTAAAATTTGGCATTTTTAAGCTATCTCTGGCATTGTTTTGCAAGTTTTTCAAATTTTTACAGATAGTACTAAAATACCTATCATTGTATAACTTGCTTTTTCATTTATATTATTCTTTTAAAACTTAGGTCATTTTGTGTTTTTCTAGTTTAATTCACTTTATTTACCACTGTGTAGTTCTTCACTATAGGACTACATCACAAATTACTCATTCTGCTGTTGGTAGACAATTCCATTGTCTTCAGTGTTTGGTTATTCTAACCATGTTGCACTAACCATTTTTCACCATGCCTCTTTCCACAGCTATAAGAGAAAATCCCTAGACTGTGCAATTACTATAATAGTCTCTGGATAGAGGGGTGAACTCCTTTGATTTTGGCAGAGTTTTTCTGATAGCCCTCTGCAGCACTTGTTCTGAAGTGAGCTCCTACTTCTCTACTATCTGATCTACAAATTAGTAGTCTATTTATTTTAATTTTGAGAATTTCATTTGCATCTAATGTTATCTTAATGTTCTACCTGTCATCCCTCTACCAACTAGTGGATTTATCTTTTTGTATGTTTTCTTCTGTGTATTTTCCTGTTTATCTCCTTTCTCATTTATTGGCCTCTTTGTCTTTTCCTTACTACTGGTTATATGGTTGCAAATCTGTCTTTCTAGTCTGTGGCTTAACTCGTTATGGAGAGTTTTACTGTACAGAATTTTTTGACTCGGTTGCATTTATTAGTCTTTTCTTTTGTACTTTGTGCTGCTTCGCGTCTTCTTAAGAAAGCTTTTCCTAATCTAACAAAGGTACTTTACTAGATTATTTTTTAATATTTGCATAATTTTGTATTTCACATTTAGGGCCTTAACTGAAATTGACTCTTATAAGAAATAAAATAGGGGTCCCATTTTATTTTATTCTTTGTAGAATTTCTTTATAGCAAAGACCATGAGGAGCCATTTATTGGATAGTTTCTCCTATCCTATTAATCTGCTATATAATTCTATTCAAATTCTTTATATTTATACTTACGTGGGTCATTCTCTGGACCATATATTCTGTTCTTATCTGCTTCTGTAATCCTGTGGTCTTACTACACTGGTCCTTATAACACTGATCCACTCTAGTCTTCAGTTCAGAGCTTAGGATATACTGCTTTCCAGCCTGACAATTGAAATTCTGTACCGTAACTTTGTCCCAGACCCACCAATTGGCAAATAGTCTTCTGAGCATACTTTGAAAAACAAAGGGCTACCAACAATTCTGGGAGCCATAAGATATTTGAATTGTAGCTCTCACCCTAAGAACATATAATTTTGTCACTCTTGATTTCCTGACTTGTAAAAGTGTAGAATCAGTATTCCTATTCAGTAGATGGCTGTAAATAATTAATGTTAGCAAATTCTCTCTGAGGAAAGAGAAAAAACACTTCAGTTATTGTTAAAATATTTTATCTTGTACTATTGTTAACATTCATTGATTTCCAAAAATAGATTAATTCAATAACCTGTGAATTTTTATGTGTAGATTTTGTGTGGTGGGACAGAAGGGTTCTGTACTTAATTATTTGATCTTTAATCAGCTGGTTCATTGAAAAACCATGATTCAAGGAATAAAATGAGAAGACAGCTTTTTTGTTACGGTTTTTTGAAATTTAATCATCATTGTCTCTGGATGAGTGTTCTGGTAATCCCATGCCATTTCTGGTCATTCTCGGGTAATGCTATTTAACATTGCAGCATCTGTCATTAATACCATTTGTCAGTCTAAACCCCAAACTTCATGTAAAACAAATCCTTTCATTCTTTTTAAAAACTAGACTGATTTGCAGTTGGCAGGCCAGACAAAAGAGTTTCCCTGATTCGCCTTCATCCTCAGCCTTATGCAACTATCCTGTCCTCACCCTGACTTTGGTGCCCAAAATTCAGAGGTCCACATCTACCTATCTCTTCTTCCCCTCCCTCAAAATATGTTTGCTTCTCTATACAGCCCAATTCCAGTATAATCTAAAATGATATTTTGCTGGCTTTCTCTCCCTTATGGTCTTTATCTGGTCTATGGGAAATAGTCAAGACTTCTTTGTTTACAAAACCTTTGAAGATACAGCCCAATCTCAAGGCAGAAGTAATTCTTCATTGCTTTTCATCTGGAGGAGCTAGTTACTATTTCTTGTCTTTTATTTTAGGGTAGGAGTTAGGTGCTTGTTCAGTCTGTTCAACTAAGTGCTCACAGAAATTCTTTTTTTTTTTGAGATAGGATCTCACTATAAAGAGTTCAGGCTCTTTGAATTCACTTTGGAGCCCAGGCTGACCTTGAACTTGCAGTGATTCTCCTGCCCCAGCTTCCTTAGTAACACTGGGATTACAGGTGTGGGTCATCAGGCCTGGCTCACAGAATCCTTTTTGAATTCATTAGACTTTGAGAGAAAGTTGTTGCCTGTCTTAGGATAAGCAGATGTACTAGTTTGCCCAATGCGGTCCCAGTTTATGAATGCTGTCTAGAAATAATTGTAATTATCACACATGTTACTCACAAAAAGTTTCCTGATTTGTGCAATAAATTATATAAGCATTCTACTCTCATGGCTAGGAATGGACCTCAGCATTGGAGAAATCCTCAATTTTCATTCCTTCTTACTTTTTAAATCATCAATATGGTGTGAGTTCTCCACCTAGTCCTTGACTTCTACTTACAGCTTTTCTTAGGTTACAGTTATCTTTATCATCTGACATTAATTTCATTGCATTTTGGCTGAAAGTCCCATTGTAATGTCTGGTTCTTTAAGTCTATTTGGGTTGGTGTGTCTGTGAGATTTTTGTACTAACATATTGTTTCTTCTTGTTTTAGTTTCCTCTGGTTTATATTGAGGTAAGAAACTTAAAGCATTTCATTTTCAAAGGAAATCAGTATATTAAATATAAATTGATGTTTGGAAAGTCATGACACTATTCCAAGGATAATAGAGATTAAAAGGAGACTATATCTGAAATTTTTCCACATTCCAGACAACTGGTTTGTTATATCCCACACTCGTATTTCTTTCTGTCCAAGTGAAATTATTAGAAACTTCCCAAATGATTGACTAATACAGCAGTCTTCCTATATGTATTATAGCCTCTAATTCTTTATTTTCTTATATCATCTTATTCTGTAGGACCCTAGAACAAATCGAATTATGCAATGGCGGGATATTACGTCAGAGAATGGAATTAAACAGTTGTCCTTCAGCCTATCATCAGAGCCCATTCAGGGCTTGTACAAGATCGTGGTACTAAAACAATCAGGAGCAAAGACAGAACACTCCTTCACTGTGGAAGAATATGGTACGGTTTTGGAAGACTGGGAAGAAAAACTGGATGTTATAGCATCTGGCTAGCACAGCGTGAATCCACTTGAAGGCATTTACTGTGGGGTTTCAACTAACTCTGTGCGGTACTTTCATCCATGAACACAGAATTTCATAAAAGTGTAGAATTTTTGAAAGGAAATTACTTCCCCAAATTTGTTATTTTTTCTTGTTTAAGTGGAAGCTCCTACGATTTGTTAGGATTAATATAACATCACCACTCATTTTAATAGCTTTGTATGGTGTTACCCTAAAATTATAAAGTCACCATTTCTGAGCACTGATTTTTCATTTAACCCACCACAAAAATATCTTGCCCACATGTTTCATTTCTGTGATCTCTTTCAACAGTGCTTCCCAAATTTGAGGTGCAAGTAAAGTGTCCAAAGACGGTCACACTCCTGGATCAAGAAGTGAATGTTACAGTGTGTGGAATGTGAGTTAATTTTACTTTCTTTCTCTACAAATTAAAATGTTCCCAAACTTTTAGAATTTTCAAAAGTTTGTTACAAGTATATGTTTATAATGCACAATACTTAAAGAATTGGTGCATACACATGCCAGACTTTGGTCATTTTTATTTCCTCTTCCACCATGCTTCACTCTACACAGAGTGTACCTTCCTGGTTCCTACCATCTCTTCTTTATTTTGCTTTTTAAATCATTTCTACATTGGGTCTCTCTATTATCAAAACTATGCAATCTCCTATATTTGATGTATTTCACTTAGTATTATTATAATCTCAAAATCCATCAATTTTTCTTCTTTAAGACTGAGTACTACTCAATTTTGTATAGATACTATGTTTTCTTTACCAATTAATCTTTTCATGGGCATATAGGCCAGTTCCATAGTTTAGTTATTATTGTGATTTGTGCTGATATAAACATGATTATGCATGTATCATTGTATAAGATGTCTTTAACTCTTTTGGGAAGACACCAAGAAGAGAAATAGCCCAGTCAAATAGAATTTCTGTTTTTAATTTTTTGAGGAATCACTATACTGATTTTCATAGTGGCTGTACGACTTTGCAGTCCTACCAACAATGTGGAAGAGTTCTTTTTACCCTACAGCCTAGCCATCATTTGCTTTTTGAGATCTTAATGATAAACATTCTGACTAAAGTAAAATGGAATCTCACTATTATTTTGATTTGCATTTTTCTAATTGCCAAATATGTTGAACATTTTTTTTCATGCACTTTTGGCTATTTGTACTTCTTTTTAGTAAAAGGCAAAAGATTTATATGATCTGAAGAGAAACCAGAGTATGTACTTCTTTTTAGAAATGTCTATTCATTTCAGTTGTCCATTTTTGATTGGGTCTTTTATTTTTTAATCTCAGTACACATTCCAGATATTAGTCTTCTGTCCAAGGAGTCGCTGGCAAAGATTTATTTACCCCATTCTGTAGATTGTCTCTTCAAACTCTTGATTGTTTTTTCTTTCTTTTTTTTTTGCTTTGTAGAAGCTTTTGAACTTGGTATAACATCATTTGTTATTACTTGGTATTATTTTTTGTGCAATTGGTTTCTGTTCAGGAAGTCCTTGTTTATGCTTATGTCTTCCTCTCCATTTTATATATTCATCAGTTGATGGGCATTTTGGCTGTTCCCAAAATTTAGGTATTACAAACAGTGTTGCTATAAACATGGGTGTGCAATATAGCTGTGGAATGACGTTTTTAATTCTTTCAGGAAGATACTAAGAAGGAGAACACTGCGTCAAATGGAACCTCTACTGCTAGTATTTTGAGGAATCTCCACACTCATTTCCACAGTAATTGCACCAGTCTATACTCCCAGAAACAGGGAAAAAAGGTTCTTTTTTCCCCCACAGTGTCTCCAGCATTTGTTGTTGGTCCATTTCTTGATGGTAGCCATTCTTTCTGGAGTGAGATGGAATCTCAGGGTTATTTTAATTTGCGTCTCTCAAATGACCAGTGATATTGAACATTTTTTCATATATTTATTTGCTGTTTCTACCTCACCTGAAAAGTGTCTATTCATTTCAGATGCCCATTATTGGGTCTTTAAATTTGGGGGGTCAGATTTTTTTGAGTTCTTTATATCTTCTACATAGTAGTCCTTTATCTGAGGAACAGCTGGCAAAAAATATTTCCCACATTGTGAGTTGTTCGTTTACTCTGTTAGCGGTAGCTCTTGCTGTGTGAAAGCCTTTTAATGAGATAAGATCCCAGTTGTTGATTCTTTGTGAGAGTTATTGTGCAATTGGAGTTTGGTTAATGAAGTCCTTGCCTACGCCTATGTCTTCAAAAGTTCTACCTATTCTGTCTTCCAGCAGAATTAGTGTTTCTGTTTTAATATTTATATCTTTGATCCAGTTCAATTTTAGTTTAGTGCCTGGTGAAAGATATGGGTCTAGTTTTAATCTTTGGCATATGGAAATCCAGTTTCTCCAGCACCATTTATCGAAGAGCCTGCCTTTCTTCCAGTGAATGTGTTTGGCACCTTTGTCAAAGATAAAGTGGCTATCTCTAGAGTTGTTGCTTCATCTTCTAATCTGTTCCATTGATCCTCTGGTCTGTTTTTGCCTGTACCATGCTGTTTTATTACAGTAGTCTTGTAGCATAACTTCAGGTCAGGATTGTGATGGCCCTTGCTTTTCCTTTGTTTGCCCAGAATTGCCTTTGCTATTTTAGGTTTCTTCTGGTTCCAAGTGAATTTTAGGATTGTTTTTTCTAGTTCTGTGAGATATGCTGTTGGGATTTTGATAAGATTTGCATTAAATCTGAGCAACAACTTTGGAAGTATTGCCATTTTCACTATATTTGTTCTTCCTACCAAAGAGCAAGGGATATTTTTCCATTTTCTGATATCCTCTTCAATGTCCTTGAAAAAGAGTAATTTTCAATGTAGTGGTCTTTTACTTCCTTCATTGAATTGATTTTTGTATTGCATGTTTTGGTTGCTATTGTGAAAGGTGTTGTTTGTATAATTTGTCTCTCAAAGTTTGTTATTCATGTAGAGGGAGGCTATTGATTTTTGAGTGTTGACTTTGTATCCAAATATCATACTGAATTTGGTTATTGCATCTAGAAGTCTTTTGGTGATGCTTTTGGAGTCTTCTATGTAGAGTATCATGTCATCCACAAATAATGATAATTTAACTTCTTCCTTTCCTGTTCTTATCCTTTTTATTTCTTTCTCTTGTCTAATTGCTCTGGCTAATGTTTCTAGAAATGTGCTTGCTTCAGGAGCACATATACTAATATTTCTAGAACTATATTGAATAAGAGTGGTGACAGTGAACATCCTTGTCATTTTCCCTGATTTTAATATAAAAGCTTTCATTTTTTGTCCATTTAGTGTGGTGCTGGCTGTTTGTTTGTCATAGATGGTTTTTATTAGATTGCAATAAAGAAGATCTATTTCAATTTTCTGCAAAGTTTTTATCCTGAATGGGTGTTGGACTTTGTCAAAAGTTTTTTGTGCATTTATTGAGATGATCATATGTTTTTTGTCTTACGCTCTGTAAATATGTTGTATTACATTTATTGATTTGTGTATGTTGAACCATCCCTGCATTGCTGGGATGAATCCGACTTGGTCATGGTGTGTAGTCTTCTTGATGATTTCAGGCGTTCTCTTTGCCAGAAACTTATTGAGGACTTTTGGACCTATGTTCATTAAGAAGATGGGTCTGTAGCTCTCTTTATTTGCTTAGATCTTTCTCTGGTTTTGTTATCAGGGTAATGCTTGCTTTCAGAAATATATTTGGGAGAATTGCTTCCCTTTAATTTCATTAAAGAGTTTGAGAAGTAGCATCATTGAGTCTTCTCTAAATTTCTTGTAGAATTCAGCCATGAATCCACCAGGGCCTGGACTTTTCATGTTGATATGTCTTCAATTTCACTGACTGATATTGGTTTACTTAGTATTTTTATATCTTCTTTATTAAGCTTTGGTAATTCATACATATCTAGGAATTTGCCCATTTCTTTTGTGTTTTCTATCTTATTAGAGTACAGGCTCTTGAAGTAGATATTGATATGGATTTCTATAGGATCTGTTGTGATTTCACCCTTTTCATTCCTAATTTCTTGGATTTGGGTCTTTTCTTTCCTTTTTTGGGGATAAGATTGTGTAAGGCTTTGTCGATTTCATTTAATCTTTCAAAAAATCAACTTTTCAGTGCATTGATTCTTTGTATTGTTTTATTTGTCTCCATTTCATTAATTTCTGCTCTGATCTTTATAATTTCCTCCCTCATACAAACTTTGGACTTGGCTTGCTTTTCTTTTTCTAGAATCTTGAAATTCAATATTCACTTTTTTATTTCAGCTCTCTTTATTTTCCTGGTATGGGTATTCATTGCTATAAATTTCCCTCTTAGTACTGCTTTCTTTGTGTCCCATAAATTCAAGTATGTTGTATTGACATTATTGATGAATTGTTGAAACTGTGTTATTTCTTCCTTTATTTCTGTGACCTATTGATTGTTCAGGAGGATATTATTAAATTTCCATGTATTTATGAAGTTCTTTTGGTTTCTTTTACCATTGATTTTCAATTTCATTGCACTATGGTCTCATAATATGCATGATATAATTTCAGTTCCTCTGCATTTACTTCAGCATGTTCTGTGAGCTCATATGTGGTTTATTTTGGAGAACATCCCATGTGCAGCTGAGAAGAATGTGCAGTTTTGATGCTGTAGTATGGAATACTCTGTAGACACCTACTAAACCCATTTGTTCAAAAGTTTGGCTCAGTTATAATATTTCATTGTTGATTTTTTTTGTCTAGTTGATCTATTTGTGACACTGAGGTTTTGAGGTCCACCATTAAAATTGCATTAGTGCTTATTTGGTTTTTCATGTCCATTAACATTTGTTTTATATATTTGGGTACATTGCTACTTTGTGCATATATATTTATACTTATTATCCCCTGCTTTTGGATTGTTCCATTTACAATGATACAGTGAACTTCTTCGTCTCTCTTAATCAGTCTTGCCTTGAAATCTACTTTGTCTGCAAATAGAATAGCTACCCCTCCCTTTTTCTGGGTTCCTGACATGTAGAGTATCATTTTCCATTCTTTGACTTTTAGTATATGCATTTCTTTTTAATTTAAATGTGTTTCTTATATACAGCATATTTTTGGATCTTTTTTTTGATCTATTCTGTCAGTCTGGTTTTTTTTTGATTGATTCACAAACTGAGACCATTAACATTGATAGTTATAACTACTATGTATTGATTTGTTCTTGTCATGTTATTTTCCTATTGTTGGTGGCCCATTTTATTTTCCACTGTTTAACTGCTTCCTTGCCTAGTGAATTCATTCTTTTGGGGTTCATGGAGTTGTAATTCTTGTTATCTCTTTCTAAAATGTCCTTCAGAACATTTTGGAGTGCTGGCTTTGTGTTTATGAACTTCCTCAGGTGTTCTTTGTCATGGAAGTATCT